AATGAACTAATCGGAAAGCAATTATCGGGGAAATCCAGACTTGCTACGCTTATTTTTTGTGGTGTATTTTACGTGCAAAATTGCGAGCTAGCTCAAAATTTTTCTGGCTAAAGTTAGCTTTAGTATTTGTTTAAAAATCTTGTACCTATGCTGATAGGGCTAAATAATTGTTAAGCGGCGAAATGAAAATAGATCAAATTGAGTCACAATGCAGTTTTACTTTCCTAGTAAGTAATTAGTAACCATTTAACTTTACCTAATACCTTTTTCTAAAATAATTAGACACTCAACCTCAGAAAATCGCGCCGAATTTGATTTGGTATATTTTGTGCGTTTTATTTAAAAGAGAATTGGTTAAACTAAGTTTATGCGGCACGTACAAAAAGATTCGAAGACAATAGAGTAGAAGGGAGCCAAGAGAAACGAAATAGAGCGACATTAAAAATTTAAACAGAAAACATGGGCAGAACAATATAAAGAGAAGGGAGCCGAGAGAAACGAAATAGAACCATTTTAAAAATTTAAACAAGAACCATGGGCAGAACAATATAACAAGAAGGGAATCTGGAGAGACAAGTAACCTTAAAACGCGCTACAAAAGGAGAATAGAACGGGGAAGAAAACTTCTGCGAGACTTGGCAACAAAAAATCGAACAACATTCACAACTCGACGAGGGAATCGAGGAAAAAAAATGAAAAGAATGGCAAAAGGAGAATTTTGCGCGGGCTACGGTAGCGTATCCACTCTTTAGAAAGTGCGCCGTGCTAGTTTCTTAAAACCGTACAGGAATCTAACTCAAAATCAGTTTAAGCTAAAGTTAAAGAGAAAATTCCAATGAGACAATGAAAAAAGTTGTACACACTACAAATTTCCACGCATAACTTTTCCAAGGACATGTCGGGGGTGGCTTTGAAAAAGATTGATTGGAGGAGGAGACAAAATGGGGAGAAAAAGATCGTTCAATGACATGCGCCTGAATAAATAGGACACGCAAAACGATGTGGCTTGTAGACATTGTAAACTTTTTTTTGGGCGGAATCTCGAGACACAACAGAAAATGGGGAAGAAAAGTTGATTTTAGATCTTTCTTGAGAAGAGTTTTACGTGGAAACTTTTGATGATTGAAATGATGAAAGCAACAATCTTTGATCGGCAAAGAAATTGTGTTTTTTTTTTTTGGGTAAAGGCACATTAATTGGAAAGAAATTATCGGGGAAATCCAGACTTGCTACGCTTATTTTGTGCTGAAATTCAGGGCTATTTTTTGATACCTAAGCGCGCATTGTAGCATAAACCAGTGTCGAGAAAAACTCGTTCAATGGTAGACTACGCAACACTCCGCAACGTCATTATGGGGCTGAGGTACTATTACAGTATTTACGGTATGCTGATAGGGCTACATAATTTTTTTAAACGGTGAAAAGAAATTTGAAAGCACATAGAATTTTGATTTTCAATTAAACACTTAAATAATAAAGAATTAAAGCAAGAATTTTCATTCATAGAAATACAAAAAATTGAAAGATTTTTGGATTTAATAGAAAAAAAAAAGCATTTCCTAAAAAAGGCATTTCTTGACGGTCAATTGTTATCAATGGGCTGACTTTGAGGCGAAAAAAAACACGAGATTTTCGGCGATAAGTCTGCGATTAGACATTTAAGCAGACACTCGAGAAATTGAAGGAAAGTTTTTGAGAAAAAAAAAAGGATTGGGTGTCTCACTTTTTTTAAATTTTAGAATTTTCTGTGAAATTTACATTGAAAAACAAATTGTATTTAAAATGAGGCGGCACGTTAAGTGGTAGTGAAAAGTGTTTTTTTTTTTTATAAACACATCCTCTCTCATTTATCACAAAAGGATCAGGATGAAAGATTTGGGTGAAATTTTGGCCAAACTTCAATTGTTATTCAATTGTTATTAGAAATCAACGAAACTTCAATTGTTATTAGAAAAAACAAACCTCTGCATCAATTTTGAACACAGTTTTTCGAATCGTATTCTCTTCGTGATCTTTCAAATGGACCTCGATTAACAGATCCATGGCTTGCTTGAGATCTAAAAGATAAATGATTATGTTTAGAAAAGATTTGAGATGAAGAAATGTGAAGTTAGACTATAAATTGAAATATTCGGAGTTGAAACGCGAGAGACTGACGAAACTTGGGAGAACGGATTTGTTGGTACTTGTGGAGTATCCGGGGGGTCTTTCAATATCCGGGGTGGTAAAATTTTAAGATCCGGGGAGGGGGGGGTAAAATTTTATATACGTTATATACGACCCCTTTTAAAGATATTCATCCGCTTAAGTGATTTGGTGGCAAATTCCCTTCAAATGTAAAGATATTCAATTTATTCGAGGTGATGACTTGATTACGAACCATTAAACTTTCAAAAACCAACCAAATGCGCAAAAATGTTTTTTTTTTTGTTAATATGGCTTTGCCGCTGTTTGCGTGTGATAACTAAATTTTATAACTATACCAGCCACGAATAAACAAGATGCACGAGTAATGCAAGAACATAAACATAAACCAAACTTAATAATTAAATAAATTTGTGAAGTACAACTACAACAGTGACTATTTGTAACAGTGACAATGAATACTACTTGTCAAAATCGTTTGAATTTACTTCTAGGCCAGGACGCAAATATAAACACATAAAACTACCACAAAAAATGGTTTTGAAGAAAAAAAAAAGTGACCCGCCAACTAGGATAGTATCAACATTTCTAATAATGACATAAAAAAATTTTGTAGAAGTTACGTTTTTGATCGAGTATCACCTCGGATCACGTAATCAAGTAATCACCTCGAATAAATTGAATATCTTTACATTTGAAGGGAATTTGCCACCAAATCACTTAAGCGGATGAATATCTTTAAAAGGGGTCGTATATAACGTATATAAAATTTTACCCCCCCCTCCCCGGATCTTAAAATTTTACCACCCCGGATATTGAAAGACCCCCCGGATACTCCACAAGTACCAACAAATCCGTTCTCCCAAGTTTCGTCAGTCTCTCGCGTTTCAACTCCGAATATTTCAATTTATAGTCTAACTTCACATTTCTTCATCTCAAATCTTTTCTAAACATAATCATTTATCTTTTAGATCTCAAGCAAGCCATGGATTTGTTAATCGAGGTTTGAAATTCCGTTTGAAAGATCACGAAGAGAATACGATTCGAATCACTGGGTTCAAAATTGATGCAGAGGTTTGTTTTTAATTCATTTAATCTTTAAACGTCTTTATTTAGGCAAAAATGGAGAAGTTGAGGGAAAAAATCGGCTCTATTTTTCAATTCCGTCCCACGAATCTACAGTTTTTATTCAATTCTTCAATGGCGTTGAACTTGGTTTTCTTGGTACTTTGAAGGATGCTAAAATAACAGATAGAAGCACGATTGTGGTGGTAAGTTGAATTTTTGCATTTTGGCAATGTCTAGGCAATGGTTTCGACAAATTTTTATGGCTAGGATGTGTCAAAATTTATAACAAATCAAATTGGTGTCACTATTTTTGCGTTATTCGGCCATAGTTTTCGACATCACTCTGTTAGATCTTTTATGTAATTCGTGTCACTTTTAACTATATTTAAAGTAAAGTATTCGACTCGTTTTTCAGATATAAAATCTTTATTACAAAAATCACCCTCTGTAAAAGAAAAAGAAAAAGAAAAAGTTAACGTACAAAAAAAAAAAAAGAAAATTTTTTTTTCTGAAAAGTGCCTTTAGCGCAAGACTATTTGGGGATGAAGTAAAAAAAAAAAAAAAAGAAAAATTTGAATAAATTTGAATAAATTTGATTTGAATAGAAGAAAATTACAAAACTAAGAACTTTTTCTGAAAGAAATTGATAAAATAGCGAAAAAAAAAACTGAGAGAATTCACTGGGTAGGCATTATTTTAAAGAAATTTTCCTAGAATTTATAAAAAAAAAATGCGAAAAAAATTTTGTTGAAACTCACTAAAAACCGGTAAATTTTGGGTAAAAACTTTTCATTTCTTTTTGTTTTTTTTTTTTTTGTCAATTTCGTTTTTGAAAGAATATTTCACTTTTTAGAAAACGATTAAAGTTTTGAAGCTTTCATTTTTCAGCCCACTAACCAGTCCCGGTGATTAGTGGGGTGAAAATCTTACTCTTTCTTCAATCTTCAATCTTCAATCTTACTCTTTCTTCAATCTTACTCTTTCCTCAATCTTCAATCTTCTTCAAAAAATTCTTCAATCTTTCGATAGATTATGATAGAAAATGATTAGAAAGATTAGAATTTGAAGAAATAAAACGTTTTCGAAAACGCCGTTTTCTAAAAAAAAAAAAAAAAAATCCCAATTTCCTTCAAAATCAGTTGCGATAATGAAAAAGGAAAAATTAGGATTTATTATTTGAAATATTGTTCTCATTGTTTCGCATTAGCATTTAAACAAATCTCAATCTATTCAGCTATTCAGCAGAGTCCCGGCCGCTGAAAAATCATCTGAATAAAGGAAATTTGTATAAACTTTCAAAAAACTTTCAAAAAAACTCAAACACAAATCGTCCCGGAAATTGTGTTGGAGAATTTTTGCTAGTTTTTTTGATAACTGCTCGACAAGAGTACTCATCATATTGATATTTTTTTTTATTTCTCAAATCACAGCTTATTCAGCAGTGTCCCAGCCACTGAATAACCGAATTTGTCTCATAAAATCGATTATTATTATTTCATTTTATATGAATTGACAAGGAAATTTGACAAAAATTTGACAAAAATTTGACAAAAATTGTCCAAATTTGTCAAAAAAAAAGTCACCGGTTTGTTTAGAATTTCAGGGATAAAGTACAAAAAAATTGGATAAAAACAAAAATGGCAAAATGAATACGGAGAATACAAATATATATTAACAGGTAAATTTTGGGAAAAGGGTTTTTTTTGTTTTTGAAAATGAATTGCATTTTGTGATTGATATTGTTTTTTGTTGGGGAGAAATTGGCTAGCTGAACATTTGATCGATCACCTCATCAAACCAAGCTGAAAACGATGATTTCGAAAAGTTTTCTTTAGGATTTTGTTTAAGAAACGATTTTGAATCGATTAGCATTACCTTGGACTTGTTGCATTGTACTGTAAGCACTGTAAGCTTGCTGTAAGCACTGTAAGCTTGCTGTAAGCACTGTAAGCACTGTAAGCTTGCTGTAAGCACTGTAAGCTTGCTGTAAGCACTGTAAGCTTGCTGTAAGCACTGTAAGCTTGCTGCAAGCACTGTAACCTTACTGCAAGCACTGTAAGCTTACTGTAAACCCTAAGTACATCACAATAAGTACTGTGCATTTTCAATGCGTTTGTCAATAGGTATACGACGGAAATTCCCCACAACTCCTTTAAAATCGACTTTTTCAACCGTTTTTTAACTATTGAATAGCATTTTATAAGGTTTATTTAATGAAAAACTTGGAAAAAGTAGATTTTAAAGAGCTCATGGCGTATTTCCGCTTTACACCTGACGGAGAAACGACTCGAAAATGCAAAAGTCGAATTTTGTGAGCAAAAAGAGTCGACAATCAATTTCCTTACCCGAATATCATCACGAGAAGCAAGAGGCGACACATCACGAGCCCTTCTTGCAATGTCCGCACTCGAATATGAACTGTAAATTTGGATTTAGAAATGAAAAAAAAGGCTTGTCTAGGATATAGAAAAGAAAAAGAAGTTGGTTTTTTTGAAATTGAAATTTTGAGAAGTAAAGTAAGAAATAAGAGTTCAGCACTTACAAATAATAAATCAAAAACAAGAAGCGGATTTATTCCCTGAAATGTTTCAAAGTTGAATTGATACTTTGATCGAAAACTCACCGTTCAACATCTCCACCAACACGAAGAGTGGACGAGTCGCGATCTCGTCGCGGTCTTGTATAGGCGGAGAGATCGGGGATCGGCTCACGCACCGATCCACCACGACCCTGCACCGTTACAAGACATCTAAAGATTTTGTTGAATTTAGTCAGAAACACTTGTATATTTAGTTAGGTTTAATAGTTAGGCTTAATAATTAAGCTTAATAGTTAAGCCAAGAAAGACAAGAGGCAGGCTTGGCTTCTAACGAGCTCAGGAGCTTTTTGGCCGAACCAAGGGGGCCTATAAGCCAAGCAAGACCGCTAACTGGGCCTAAAAGCCAAGCAAGACCTCTAACTGGGCCTATAAGCCAAGCAAGGACCCTGCCCCGACAGAAAACTGATTCAAACCTTTGACCTTTGACTGTCTTGACTAGAAAACATGATCAAGCTTGCTAAGAAGCTTGGGACAAGCATAAAGCCGATATTAAAGCACTCACTCAGTCTGATCTTCTCCCAATTCATTTGTGGCAACACAAGAATATGCGCCAGCATCTTCCATCCTCGCGTTAAAGATCTCCAACGAAGCAACACCGGATCGATACGTCAATTGGACTCGATCTGCGTCCACCGGTCGACCATCTTTAAACCATTCAACCTGGAAAATCGATTCGTTTAATAAATTTCGATTGACTTGATTGATCTTGGGTTTGGGCTTGGACTTGGGTCTGTAGTTATAAAATCTCAATCATTTACAAATCAGTTTACCTTTGGAACTGGATTTCCAGACAAATTGCAAATGAGTTTGCATTGGTGATTTTTCTGGATGAGCCGGTGTCGCAAGTGGAACGAGAATTTCGGTGCCGCGCGCTTTTCCTTGAACTCTTCCACTTTGGGCAAATCGACCTGAAAAAAGAAAAAAATGATTGAAACTTATGATAAGACAAGGGAAAAATGTCTCGAAAATTAATCTTTTGATTGGAAAATGAAAAGAGTTCAAACCTTTCGCATTGGTTCTAAAGGTTTCGACTCGAATTCAACGGATTGTTTGAGAACGGTGAGGTGGACGAGTTCTTCGCGAGCTCCATAAGAGTTTTGAGCGCGAACCTGAAGAGTTGAGAGTAGGAAAAGGAGGAGATTATTGATTTTTATTGAAGTAACCGGATCTAAGTAAGGGATAAGGCGATAACGAAAACGTTTCAGTGTAGCTTATTGGTAGAGCGTTCGACTAGTAAGCAAAAGGGTTTGAATGCCGGGGCGCCGACCATGTTTCTCAACCCATAAACGAATCGGCGTTATTCAACGTTTAGACTCGAATCTAATTCCCCCTACCGTGTACTCTCCTTTGTCATCCATTTTGACTCGATTGATGAGCAGTGTGTAGTCAGATCCCTCATATTTCTTCATATATTTGACGGATTGTCTCAACTCTTTTGCTCCGTGATGCCACGAGACAATTGGAGGTGAAGCGGCGAGCACACGACAAAAGAATGACGCGGATTGACCCTAAAAATGAGAGATTTTATTTCAAAGATACAATTTTTAAAAGCTCTATTCTAATTATAAGACTATAAGACTATAAAACGAGTTTTCTACGAGTATGTATAGTGCTTAAAATTGATCGTAAAATGCTTTAATATTTTGGCTAATTAAGCAATCAGCAATCAGCAGTCAGCAAGTCTGATTTCAGTCCTAAATTTACCTCAGCACATGTGGTCGAGAATGGACGAATGATGAAGCGAGGAGTGGCCTCTTGTCGATCAAAGTAAGCGTCACGAATGGAGTGCTCGGTTGGGCGAAGTTTTCTCAGTGATGAGTAGTTTGCCATTCGACCCATTGGTGGAAGGGGTTCAGGCCAGGCATCCTACAAAGATTGCTTGTTTTATATAGCTTTTACACCTGGACTACTACTGTAAGTCTTACAGTCTACAGTTTGACACAGTTATGCTTACAAAGACATAAAACCATCTTTCTCCTTGCAAATCAAGGTACCGAATAGCTCAATGGTTAGAGGGAATTGCCTGTAAAAGCAAAAGGTCAAGGGTTCAATTCCCTCTCTACTTTTTCTTGCCAATTCTTTCATTTCTTTCTCACAGTCTACAGTCTACAGTTTACAATTGGTCTTATCATACTGTAGCTACAAAATGTCTAAACAAAGTCTGTGACTTACATATTTCCTCTTCACCGAATCCCGAATATTTCTATATCTGCTTGATGGGATTGTGTCATCGTAATTTGCTGTTTCTCCCGATGATAACCATGGATGATCCAAAGCATCGAAGATTGATAATCGCTCTCGAGGGTCCTAAATTGGTGATTATTTTTGTATATATTTCTGTCTATATTTCTGTCTATATTTCTGTCTATATTTCTGTCTATATTTCTGTATATATTTCTGTCTATATTTCTGTATATATTTCTGTATATATTTCTGTATATATTTCTGTATATATTTCTGTCTATATTTCTGTATATATTTCTGTATATATTTCTGTCTATATTTCTGTCTATATTTCTGTATATATTTCTGTATATATTTCTGTCTATATTTCTGTATATATTTCTGTATATATTTCTGTCTATATTTCTGTCTATATTTCTGTATATATTTCTGTCTATATTTCTGTATATATTTCTGTCTATATTTCTCAAATCCATCAAATCCTCACCTTAAGTAAAAGCTTCTTCACAAAATCTTTCGCGTTTTCAGAGATTCCTGAGAATGCTGGATCGTCAATACTCCAATCACAAGATCGAACATTTTTCAGCGTTTCCTCATCAGTTTCTCCACCAAATGGTGAAAGACCAGATAATCTAGAAAATTTTGGGTAACGATATATCCAAGAAAGACAGCAATGAGAAACGTGGTCATGTAGCTCATTTGTAGAGCGTTCGGCTAGTAAGCAAGAGGGTTCAAATCCCGGTGTTTCCGATCATGTTTTATATTCTCAGCTTTCAAGGTGTTCAACTTCTAGTTATTATAATCTAAATTCGTTGCCTTTTCTTGGCTAAAATCTTAGACTAAAAAGCCATTAAAAGCCATTAAAGAAAGAGATTATTAACAAGATTATTATACTTTTCATCCACTTACAAGATATACGAAAGCACTCCAACACTCCACATATCAGTGTAATATCCAACAGCTTCTCCATTCGCTACTTCAGGAGCCGCAAATTCCGCGGTTCCAGTGGTGACTTTCACGTGATTTCTTGGATCCAATGGAGTGGCTAAACCGAAATCAATCAATTTCAGTTTGTCACTCTTCTTCGATGTGAACATGATATTCTCGGGTTTCAAATCCAAATGCACATGATTGTTCTCATGCATGACACGAAGTGCCTCACAAACTTGACGCATATAGTTCGCAGCTTCTTTCTCGCTCATTCTGAAAGATTTCGAGATTCATATGATGATATCAACAAACCTTATTTTAATCAACAACTAATCCTTAGGCTATTTTTGATTAATCTAGTAAATAAGGATTTCAATTCAAATTGCTTAATTCAAATTCAAATTCAAATTGCTTTTGTTTTAAGTTCAAACTCACTTGTTCTGTTCATCAGCGACTTTCTCAAAGAGCTCTCCACCACTCATAAACTCATAAACCATCACCATCTCGTGATCATCCTCATAAGCATCATGGAGATGGATTAGCGATGGATTTCTGAAATGTTTACGAGATTAAATCTTGAATCTTGTATTCTTAGTTTTAGGTCTGATTTGATATCTGATTTCTTTTTTTATAGCTTTTTTTTCCATAGCTTATTCTTCTCGACCTCAATGCATTCATCACTTGAATCTCTTTCTTGACGGTTTCTTTATCGGTTTGATGGGGAGTGTTGACAAATTTGGCAGCAAATGTGTTGCCCGTTGAGCGCTCAACACATCGATGAACCACTCCAAATGCTCCACTGAAAAGGGATTTTCTTTCATTTCTCAGAAATAGATATTCAAATCGGGAAACATGGAAAGTTTTTCCGAACTACTCTACCATTAGCCGTAACCATAGATATTACCACAACCGGCTACAGTAAAGGGCTATAAATCTACAGCTATACATTAGTTAAGTGTGCGATTACGGTAAGCAGGCACTCTTTAGAGTTCGGTAACGGTAACCAAAGACAGGCTAGATCTCCAAATCTCTAAAGACTCTAAAGTCTCCAAATGAAAACCATCTATAAAACTGACCTTCCGATCTCCTCACAGATATCGTATTTATCATAGATTGACGATGTCTTGATATCGACAGCTTCTGGATAATATTGCTTCCAAACATCAAAGACATAAACATCATAATTGGAAGCGGGCGTTCCCCGTCCCCGGATGATCTTTCCACTCTCATCCACATCGTAATTCCTTCTTCGACGACGGCCATCACCTAAATGATATCGTTTAGAAAGGAAAAATTGGAATGTTATAAGAATGAAGCTTAGTTTTGCAATAGTAAATCTAATAGAGTTCTAGTTTAAAGGGGGTTAAAAGGTTACAGTTAAAATGGTTACCGATTTCCGTTAAACGTTTTGCTGAAATGAGATTTAAAATTTTTGTCAATTTGAATCTATCCTATAAGTACGAACTATGAAAATAGATTTCAAAATCGTTTTCCAAATTTCAAACCAGGAATTGTGACAGCATTTGTTGGTTCACATGGATTCGAGATTCCGTGTTTATTCTCAGCTGTCACCCGGAATTCGTATTGGTGTTGAGCTTTGAGTCCCTCGATCGTGATGTAGGTGAATCTAGAAAAGGTTTTATTCGAATTTTGAATTGAATTTTATTTTACTTTACTTTACTTTACTTTACATGTCAATTGTTTAAGTTCATTTAGATTTAAATACCGTATTTTCTCTAATAGTAGTGCACCCTGAGCAGCGCCTAAATTGCTCGAAATCTCGAGAACCGCTTATCAGAACCTATTGATGTGGGATCGGAAAATGTAGCTGACGATGAGATCTAGTGGGGGATTAGAGTGTTGAGCGTCTGCAAATGCTTGAAAACCGTAAAATAGCCATCAACTCGGCTCGCCGGGGTGCTACTACTACTATTAGAGAAAATACGGTAGTAGTTTATCAGTTAGTTCATTAGATTTAAAGAAGTCAAAGTTACTCTCTAGGAAATAGTAGGATCGTTTTAGGATGATTGATCGAAAGATCGAAAGAAGATTGCATTGAGAATTTGTTTAAGATCAGTGTAATCAACTTTATTCACTAAATCCTAGTTTCATATTATTGAAAGTAAAGCTTTTTTCAAAAAAACAAACCTCGATTTAGCACATGGAGTCCATTGTCCTCCAGTTGTGTCTCTCTTCTCGACAGTGTACCCAGTGACAAGAGATCCGCCATCAAGCTGTAAATATAATATAGATATAGATTAATAAATTGATCAATAATAACTAGAAAAAAAAAGAATAAAGAAGGTATTTAAAGAATAAATAAACGAAAGCTTTAACAACAACCTGTGGTGGTTTCCATGAGAGAATCACTGCCTCATCGAGAACATTTTCAATCTAGAAACGGATTTTCAATCTAGAAACGGATTTTCAATTGAACTTCTTAACTAACTAAGTTCTTAACGAACAATTTAATTAATAAATAAGTAATTTAGTAATTTAGATAAATTACAGCTATCTTAGGTTACAGCTTTCTTGAGGCGTACTTTGTACTTGCAGTTGTTACAAGTTGCAAACGCATTTGTTCTAGCGCACTCACTAAAGTCACTCCTTTCAACAAGAGAAGATCAAGACTTTAGTGCAGCAGAAAGCTTGCGTTTTCAAGAAACCCAAAGTACAAATCAATGCCAAACCTGTGGTGCTCTCGGTGGATCGGGTCGATCAGCCACTGTGACTGTGACTGAAGCTGAATCACTTCCAACTCCATTCTCAACTGTCGCTCGATACGTTCCATAATCTTCTCTCGATGCTCCCGAAATTCTCAATGTCACCGTTTTCTCATCACTTGTGATCGAATATTTCCCTCCATTCTCAATCTTTTCCCCATCTTTTGTCCATCTTCCCTCACCAGCTGGGAAAGCTTTATATGGCAATTGAATCTCAATCGTTTCACCCTTTTGTGCCTCATATCCTCCATGATATTTCGGTGGTACGAAAACTCTTGGCTTTGTCTTGACTTTGAGTTGAGCTCTTGTTGTTCTCGTTCCTTTTGCATTAACTGCCCGACAAGAGTACTCATCAGCGTCATCAGCTTGCACATCGTTGACAATAAGTGTTTGAATAGTTCCCTTGTTCAATAAAGTGTACTTCGAAGTGGAAACAAGTTCTTTCATCCCTCGCAACCATTTAATCTCTGGTCTTGGATCTCCTTTAATCTCACACTCGAAAGTCACTGATCTACCTGTTTCTCCGTACACATCTGAGGCTTGTCTGATGATTTCTGGCGGTGATCCACCACCAGCAGCCAAAAATTTCAACTTTGGCACCTCAAGCGCTTCTGAGAAGCCAGCTTCATTGACAGCAAAGATTCTGAACTCGTAGTCACGACCATCGATCAAATTTGGTACATTGAATTGATTGGGAGCCGATGGAGTCTGATTACAGCGTACCCACGTATCTGTACCAGCCTCTTTCTTTTCAATCACATAGCCACGAATTCGACCACCACCATCAGAGATCGGACGAAGCCACGATAAAGTAAGGAAATCGCTTCCAATTTGCGCAATCTCAGCATTCGTTGGTGGACCAGGTGGATCAAATGGCAGCTTTGTAATGACCGAGTTATCGGAGACGAGCGGCGCACCAACACCATTTTCGTTAAAAGCCGAAACTCTGAACTCGTACTCATGATTCTCGAAAAGTGCCTGCGCCATGTAGGACAATTCTCTGACTTGTGAGGCGACAGTGGTCCATTCTTCTCTCAAAATATCTCGCTTCTCAATCAAATATCCCTTAATTCTTGAGCCTCCATCATCAACTGGTGGTCTCCAAGAAAGTGTCACATAATCTTTGCCCACATGTTCGAAAGATAATGGTCCTTGTGGAGCAGTTGGTAAACCAGTGACATTCAACCAGAAACCAGTTGTCGCTTCTCCACTGTCATTGCTCACTGTATACTCGTATCTTCCAGTTTCCGTTGGTTGAAGTGAAGTAATTGTGATCAAGAAATGATCATCAAATTCAACCGTTCGAATTGTTGGATGCTCTCCACTCACTTCTTTCTTATTCAGCGTCAATAAATGATTGAATGGCGCCGAACCGGAGAAGTAGATCTTGAAGCGAACCATCTCATTTAGTGGAAGAATCGTGTTCGGTACATCTCGTTCAATCACCGGCGGTGCTTGAACAATAAGTCTAGCTGTGGCTGAGTCCGTTCCGAACACATTTGCCACCTCACATGTGTACTCTCCAGCGTCAATGTCCCAGACTTCTTTAATCGTGAATTTGTAGACTCCATCATGAGCTTCGAAGCGATACCTCGTGCTTTCCGGCAGCTCTCTCCCATTTCTCAGCCATCTAGCAGTAGGTTCAGGCCTGCCCACAGCTTCACAAACAAACACAGCTCGTCTGTTATACGGTTGAGTAGTATCTTCCGGTTTGACAACAATCTCCGGCTTCGATCCACCCATCTCTTGAATCTTGATTGGTGCAGTGGGTAAGCTGGGGAAACCGCGACCCGCCTTGTTCTCGGCAACAATTCGGAACTCATAATCGTGGAACTCTTTGAGGTTAGGCACAGTGAACTCTGGCTCAAGAATGGCATAATCGGAGACCTGATACCAGTTGGATGATCCATATTCTCTCATTTCTACATGATAGCCAGTGACTTTTGAGCCACCATCATCAATGGGAGCGCCCCAGGTGAGAGTGACGTGATTGCGGCCGATTGATTGAGCGGCTGGCTGGGTTGGTGGGCCGGGTGGAGCGATGCGTGACTTCAGCGTCAGTTTCGCCACCGGCGAGTGCTTCGAGAGTCCAGCTGCGTTCTTCGCCTGCACTCGGAACTCGTATCTAAAAGTTGAGTGTTTTGAATTGAATTTAAATTGGCTTCATTCTTCAATGTACAGTCGATAAAAGGATTTTGAACTTCTAAAAAGTGCTCTTGATTTCTGCGTAACCGTCTAGTCAATCGTTGGTCGTTCGCAGCTACGCAAGAAATTTGGAACACGTTCTAGAAACGTTAAATCGAGAGTTTACTGTACGAGTAAAGACTATGAGTAAAAGAAAAAACTGAGCTGAAAACTTACTCTCCACAATCCCTGAGGCCAGCGATTCGCACATTGTTCTCCTTGACAATATCTCTACCCACAGTCATCCACTTTCCAACATTCACATCACGATATTGCACCACATAACCCAAAATCTTCGATCCCCCATCGTGCGGGGTTTCCCAATTGAGATCGATCCAAGTTCGATCCATATCTCTCGCAGATGGTTGATCGGGAGCATCAGGTACATTGAATTGATATCGAGCAGTGATCGGTTCTCGGCACTCGAGTGGATCGGAGACACCGTATTGATTCTCAGCTCGTACCTAGAATTATTTTTTTTTTATTTAATCGCTGATTGCTTGATTGCTTAATGCTTAATTGCTTTCTTAAAACTTAAAAAAGCTCACCCGGAATTTATATTTCTCGTTCTCGTGCAAGCCGGTCACATAAAGATTCGTGTTTCGAACAAATGATGAGACTTTTTCCCATCGATCATTTCCTCTACCAACATGCATCTTTTCCAAAATATAATTAGTGATCGGTGATCCACCATCAGATTTTGGTTCTTTCCATGAGACAAGACAACCATCGGGTGAGATATCAGTCACCTCCAATGGTCCCTCAGGTGGTGCCGGTTTGTCAACAACTTTGAATTTGATTGTTGCTGAATCGGATCCCATTGAATTCTCCAATGTTATTGTGTATGATCCAGTGTCATCCAATTGAGACTTATTATAAGTCAATGTAGCTAAATAGTCATTGAAATCAATGATAGCACGTGGATCCTTTTTATCAATTGTTGCTCCATTCTTGCTCCAAGAGATTCTCGGTGCTGGCGTTGCAGCGAAGGGTACAAGAACCTTTCCAATCTCTCCAGCATAAACTGTAACATCTCTTGTCAACAAACCCATGTCAATCTTCGGCTTGCATGGAGCATTGTCAGCTAAAACTGGTACACTATTCTCTGAATAGTCTCCACTGCCAGCTTGATTGACAGCACATACGCGAAACTCGTACTCTTTCTTAGCTGTCAAGCCGTAGACTTTGAAACGAGTTTCAGGAATTAGCCCATGTTGAACTCTTTCCCAATCTCCTCCTTTCTCTCTCTTCTCTAGATAATATCCTTGAATTGGTGAGCCTCCATCAGTGTACGGTCTTGTCCAAGTCACTACGATTGAATCCGGATTTGTTTCCATAGGTTCTGGACGTCCAGGCGCTCCAGGGGTATCAAATGGATCTTTTGCTCTAAACGAATCATCACTAACAAGCGGCTCGCCGACTCCAAATTGATTCTCTGCCGAGACACGGAATTCATAGTCTTGATTCTTGATGAGATTTCTTGCTTTAAATTGGCATCCAATTGGTTGCCCAATTCTCTTCCATTCTCCATTCTTCGTCCTTGCTTCAACAACATAATTGGTGACCGGAGCGCCTCCATCTTCTTTCGGTGGTCGCCAATGAAGCGTCATTTCTTCACCACTAATTTCACTAGCAGTGATCGGTCCAGTTGGTTTCCCAGGCGCGTCCAAAACAGTGACATTCAACTTCGCTTCATCTTTACCAAATCGATTAGAGAGCACAATTTTATATGGTCCTCCATCAGTTCGCTTGGCGTTTGTGGTAGTGATGAGGATGTGATCGGGCATCACCTTAAATGCTTTATAATTAAGAGGAGACAAAATCTTTCCCCACCTCAGCAGTTGTTCTCGAGTCCTCGTAGATTGGCTGAGTTCCATTAAAAGCGTCGATTGTTGGTTTTGGATTTCCACCAGAGAATGGGATTTTGATTTCGATTGTTTCACCAGCTCGTACGACAATATCCCGCAAGCCAGAGAGATCGAAAACCGGGCGACCAGGTGCATCCTAGGTTCAGAAATCATTTCACAACTACACTGAAACTACCTGAATGGTGACTGGATCTGATGGTCTTGATGGTTCACCCTCACCAGCTGTATTTACAGCACGCACACGGAATTCGTATTGCTCTTTTTCCTTTAGTCCTTCAACATTCAGGCGACAGTCCTAAACCAATTTTGATATCATTTCAGCTCATTTTGTTAGCTTAAAACTTTTGAAATCGACTCTCACCTTGACTGGCTTCTCATTGCATCGAGACCAATTTGAGTCTCCAACTTTCCTCTTCTCAACAATGTATCCATCAATTGGCGCTCCTCCATCAAACGTTGGCCTCATCCAAGTGAGCTCAGCCGAGTTCTTTGTCGTTTTACCAACATGTGGAGCATCCGGAGCACCAGGTGGCACTAAAGCTCAAATTTTAATTCAATTTCCTTATTGACAATCACAATTACAATTACAAATGGATTCACAGTATGCTAGAGAAGGGGATTATATAGTGCTCACCAACGAACGGTTTACAAGTGACAGGTTCACTTCCATTACTTGGTGGACCCTCGCCAGCAGCGTTGACAGCGCGCACGCGGAATTGATAGGTTTCACCCTCAAAGAGGTTTCTGATCGTCGTCTCGGTGCCTCTGAAAAGAAATGTTTTAGAAAACAATGGCTAGCTGGTTGTAAGCTATAAGCTACGAGAGTACATTTGCCTACAGTAAATCTAAGCATTCCCCCACCTGATTAACGGCATTCGAATCGGCGCCCAATCGCCTCCACCTTTCTTCTCAAATCTCTCGATCACGTAGCCCAAAATCGGTGAACCACCGTCTGAAAAAAATTGGATTATTGATTAGCAGTCTTGGCTATGATTCGAAAGATCAAGGGATCAATCCCAAGTTCACTCTAAAATCTCTTACCTTCTCTTGGTGGATTCCATTTGAGAGAAACCGAGTTGGTGTCATAGCTGAAATTTGGTGATAAGAAAAGAATAAAGTACAAATTACAGGTGTGTACAATTGAGACATTGTTTACTATTGTAATGAAAACTACCGTAATCAGCCAATCTATCCCCTTTTTTTTCTTTTCTTTGAGATGTACAAGGTCGAAAGAGTTACAAACTAAGTAGATTGAGTAAAAACTAGAGTCAAAATTACGGTAGAGGTATTTCGTTTTCCTCCTTAAAACTCACCCAGTGATATCGGGAGTACTTGGAGCGCCTGGTGGGTCAAAGTCATCCTTGATCACAATGGGGATGCCAGTCAAATCATCCGACAATCCAGCCATATTCTCGGCTCGAATGCGGAAGCGATACCGTGCCCCGTGCTCCAATCCCCTAACAGTGAATTGCGTGGCGGCAACAGTTTGCGGCACTTTCTCCCAGAACATCGATCCCTCTTGTTGGTATTCGATCTTGTAGCCAATGATCTCCGCACCGCCATCATCTGAATATTCTCTATATTTTTGGCAAATTTTCGAGCGTTTGATAAGCTTTGACCAAACACCATAGTCTTACTGTAAATTTCGTTTAGCCCATTACTGTAATCCCACCGTATAACTCATCTAAATCATCCCATTACCATAACCCTTTCCATTACTGTCCATCTGTCCAGCCCTACTACTCGTAAAGTTTCAAAAGCCTACATCAATTCCTTATTTCAAACTATTTTCAAACCTTTCGGTGGATCCCATTTAAGCGTAGCCGATCGTCGGGAAATCTCCGGATAGGTGAGATTCTCGGGTGGCGATGGTCGATCAATCACCGTGATCTTGATATTCGCCTCCGCTTCGCCCAATTTGTTGACGGCTCGAATTTTCACCGGTCCAGCATCCGACTTTCTCGCCGTCAAAATATGCAGTTGTGTGATAGAGTCAGTGGTGTCAATGTTTGGCAACGGTTGGCCATCTCTTGTCCACGAGATCTCAGGTTTCGGTGATCCAGAGAACGGAATCTGGATGAGTAACGGATCTCCGGCTTTCACTCGGAACTCTTTTCCGTCGATTCCCAAGTCGAATCTCGGTGCTTCGAACATCGGTTTCGCTGTGGCAGGATCCGATGGATCTGATGGTTCTCCAGGTCCCGCTTTGTTCACCGCAACCACTCTGTACTCGTAAGTGTGATCTTTCTGCACTCGTTCATCTTTGAATGCTGTGCCCATCACTGGCTGCGTGTTCACCTTGATCCATCTGCCTGACTTCGCATCTTTTCTTTCTACATCATAGTGTGAGATCGGTGATCCGCCGTTGTCTCCTGAAATTTACATTTAATTAGCTATCAGTTAGTTTCGTTTTCTAAAAGGCACTAAAAAGTACCGTAATCAAACTTTTAGCTTTCATCTAATCAGTGCAATTTTTTTGAGAAATCATCGCTCAATTAATGATACAAAAATTCGGCTGATCGAATGTAAACTAGCGGTTTGATAACGGTAATTTTAAGTGTCTTTTAGAAAACTCCCTTATGCTTTTTATTCTTTAGTGTAGCAATTGCAAAATAGCTTTCAACTCACTTGGCGGATCCCACTGAATATCAATATGATCATTGTCAGTGTCGGTGATCTGTGGCTTGCTTGGTTTTCCAGGAGTGCCGAATGGATCTTTGGCAAGCACTGGGCGATCGGTTGTCAACGGATCGGAGGAGCCGAAAGCGTTTTGCGCGACGACACGGAATCTGAATATTTGTTGCTGAAATTTTAAGCAGTTCCGTGAAAAATAGAAGCCTATTTTTCGAAATTCAAATTCATTCAAGTAAACTCACTCGTATTCGTGTCCGTCTTGTAGCTTGGGCACAGTGCAAGTAGTTCCAGCGACGAAATTCGACACCGGTGCCCAGGTGCCTGATTTGATGTCTCGCTTCTCGACCACATAGTTCGTGATTTCCGAGCCACCGTCGTCCTCTGAAATTCGAGAAATTCACATAATCCCATCAAAATTTGAACATAGTTTTATAAAAAATACAGACTTGGCGGATTCCATGCAAGAGTACAGCTGTCCTTCGTTACATCGGACACTTCGAGAGGTCCTTCTGGAGGTGATGGTCGATCTTGGACGACAACTTCGAAATCTCCCTCATCTTCCCCAATATCATTCTTCAATTTCAACTTGTAGGTGCCACTTTGTTCTCGTTTTGCTGATGGGAAGAAGATTGAGGCTTTGCCGGTCTTCTTGTCGACCATCAACTCGGCAGGGACCTGGAAAGGGTACTATAACGTCTATAAAGGCACTGTACTGTAATTGGTAAAGCTAAGTCCCAAGATCCAATGTCTCTTAGAGTTTTGGCTAGCGTTTCAAAGAAACAAAGATTCGATCCCGGCTAGTAAAATCGGATTTATAGTCTTCTGTAGCTAGAGTAGTACTTCTAAAGTGGCTACCTCCTTTCCATCCTTCGTCCAAACAGCAGTTGGCTCAGGCGATCCGATAAAGTCAATTTCCATGGTGTGAGTGTGTCCGGCTTTGATTTTAATCTTTCGATCTCGAGTCATTATCTGCGGCTTTACATAGCGAGCCTTAGTGATCTGGGAATCGGATGGATCCGACGGTCTCGACTCCTCCGGCTTCATTGATCGCTTTCACACGGAGTCTGGAAATTTATCAAATGATGGACTGTTTACCGTAATCGAATTCGAGAAATTGTTGAACTTACTCATATTCCACGCCTGGCTTCAGATTTGTGGCTGAGAACGCGGTGCCTGTTGGTCGACCTGCTTCCACCCACATTGCTGAGCCTTTCTCTTTCTTCTCGACGATGTATCTGAAATAGAGATTTGTGATTTCTAGACAACTTATAGCCTAGACGATAGTTCCAATCGATTCCGTTCCTGCCAATCCCAACCGACCCCTTGATCGGCGATCCTCCATTGTTGGCCGGTGGATTCCACTTGATATCGATACGATCTTTATCCCAATCGGTCACTTCCGGTTTCTCAGGTGCATCGGGGACATCAAAGCGATTTCGGCGCGATGATCGGCTCGTCGGCTTCAAGCGGTTTACCTCGCCTTGTAAATTGACAGCTTTCACGCGGAAGAGGTACCTCTTTGCCCGGTTGCAGTTTGGTCACCTTGGCCTCACAGTCGGGGAATTGGCCAACCTAGAATTTATGATTCAAATAAAGGTGGAGAATTCCGTGAAAAATAGGCAACAAAATACGGTAGAAATAGGCACAAAAACGGCAATTACTAGTTTTCTATTTGACACTAACTTCAAAAGTTAGCCGACTCACCTCTTGCCAAGTGCCCCTTGTCGTGTCCATCTTCTCAACAACATAATGCAAGATATCCGATCCTCCGTCTAAAATTTTAGATCTAGATTCAATTTTGTCAACAATTCCCAACCATCCTCTGGTGGTTTCCATTGCAAAGTGCATCCCTCTTTGTGAATGTCTCCAATTTTCATTGGTCCTTTCGGCGCTTCGGGTACATCCAAAACGGTGACATTGCATTTAGCGGTATCCTTGCCGAATTCATTCTCAACTGTGATGAAATATTGACCAGAGTCACCTCTTCGACAAGCTGGGATCACGAGCGATGAGGTGCTTGGGGTGGATTTCACCTGGAAAGAGGGGATTTCGAAGTGTTGAGCTTTGGGATTGCAGTAAGCAAAGATAATTATAACATAAAGCTTTAAACATTTAAAGTGTAGGGATGAGATTTTAAGCTTTCACTCACCTCAGCTCGATCATCGCCAGCTGCCGGCTTATCGCCGATTTTCCAGGTGGCTGTTGGAGCGGGTGCTCCCTCAAACGAGACGTCGATTTTGATCGGTGTCCCGGCTTTCACTCTCAAATCCGTCAATCCATCGAGATTGATCTTTGGCGCTTGTCGTCTTGCTTTCGCCACCACTGGCCCTGTGGCTTGAGATGGCTTGCTAGGGCCAGCTTTGTTCACAGCTTTCACCCGGAATTGGTACGTTTCCCCGGGAGTCAGATTTGGAGCAGTAGCCTAGGAAATTTGCTGGTAATATTGCTAGTCAAAAAAATCTGACCTTTGTCTGATCACCGGGCACCACAGCGCACTCGACCCAATCTCCGTATTTGTCTTTCTTTTCAACGATGTATTTCTCAATCGGTGCTCCACCGTCATTTGCCGGGGCCTGAAAAGGAAATTGCAATATGGAAATTTCTTGTTTTTGTCTAGTTTAGGAATCCGTCGACAAAATTTTTGAATTAAAGCTAGGTCAAGGTGGGTCAGAGGCCAGCTTTTTTTAGCCCAAAATCAAGTAATTCAAAACCTGGAACATTCCTGTTTATAAAGCAAAGTATCACTGGAAGTTAGGTAGCTCAATTTAAAATGTGATTGGCTGCAGATGGACCACCTTGACCTAGGTTTAATTCAAAATTTTGTCGACAGATTCGTAAGCTGTCATGGCCGACTGGCTAAGAGCCTTTTCTTAGTCGGGAGGTCAAGGGTTCAATCCCATCGACTCTTTTCTTCACATTGGTTCTTTTTTTTTCTTTTTTAGGGTTTGTGTTTGTATCAGATTATTCGTGTGTATAAATATATTTAAAAAAGCCTTCCAAGCAATTGCTCACCTTCCAAGCGAGATCCACATGATCTTTATCCCAATCAACTGGTGTGACATCCGTTGGTGGATCGGGTTCATCGAAGGGATTCTTGGCGACAATTGAATCGCGTGACTCAAGATTTCCCGATTGGCCCTTGCCTATTCACAGCTCGAACCCGGAATTTGTATCTAGATTTTGGAGGCTCAAACTAAAGAGAATCAAAAAAATTTCCTTACTCATGTCCCTCGTTGAGTTTGCCGACTTTAAGTTGTGTGCCCGTCTGTTTCACCGCACTGAAATGCTTTTGGTTTTTGGGGCTTAGATATCGTGCGTATGCTATGAGATTAGATCTAAAAATTACAGTATATTTTCACTCACCGGTACCCATCTTCCACCATCTTCTTGTTTCTCAACAATATAGCCAGTAATCGGTGATCCACCATCATCCTAAAGAGATATTCAGTTGTTTTTTTGTCATGATTCTAGTTTTTTGAATAGCTTTCATTCTCGAAAACCAAGACAAACCTCGGGTTCTTTCCACGAGATCACCGCACTATCCTTGGTGATGTCATCGGCTCGGAGTGGTCCCTTTGGATCACTAGGGACATCAAGCAACCGTTCACATCAACCTGAACAAATAGAATTTGTTTTCAATAAAACTGTAAAGAAATTCTATCCCCAACCTCGTGCTCATCCTTTCCACTGTCATTTGTGGCGACAATCTTGTACTTGCCAGCGTCGACTCTTTTGCGCGTCTCTTGTCGTCAACTTGGTGTTATGATCATGCTGTATTGTCAATCTAAAAAAAGGGGCAATATTTTTGAACTTAAAACTTTTTTACCTTAACCCTCTCATCGGATCTAAGCGGTACTCCATTGTAGAACCACTCGATGACTGGATGGGGTTCTCCCCTCGACGTTTACATCAAATTTGATCGGTTGTCCAGCACGAACTTTCAAATCCTCGAACATTTTTCCGATCGATCTTTGGTGGAACTGAAAGATTAGCTTTAGTTTGATCTATTAGATCAACAGTAATCTACAGAAATCTACAATTTGTAACCCTTATAAACTAAGAAATCCTAACCATGTCTAGCCTTTGCCAACAAATGTCTCGATGGATCGGATGGAGCCGATTGTCCGCTTGTTAATGGCTTTCACTCGGAATCTGAAAGGTTTGATTCAAATTAAAAGGATCATCGGCAAATAGCTTACTGATATTGATGTCCTTCTTTCAATCCTTTCACCGAGGCTGTTGTCTGATCTGCGGGGCACAACGGCCGCTTCCCACCAATTTCCATTCCCATCACGCATTTCAACGAGATATTGTTCAACAGGAGCGCCTCCATCGTCGCTAGGTGGAGCCCACTGAAGTTTGATTCATTTTAGTTCTAAACCTTAAACTTAACAAATTCGCGAGAATTTGTTCAAGGAATCCAACCCTTTACCAACAACTGAATTAGTATGTTCAAAGTTCGAAACCTTACGAGATCAGCTCGATCCTTGTCCCAATCGGTAATCTCAGGGATTCCTGGTTTTCCAGCCGTATCGAATGGATCCTTGGCAACGATCGATGTGTCAGCCTCCAGTGGATCAGAGTCACCATATCTGAAAGAAAAAAAATCGTAGAAGAATTTTTCATTCTTGATTCCCCTATTCTACAGCTTTCACTCGGAATTTGTACTGTGTCCGGGCGTGAGATCGTTGACTTTCATGTGAGTGTCTTGACTTTCTCCAGCATGGAACCCAGCGACCAGCTGCCTGATCTTGTTTCTCCACTACATAGTGAGAGATTTCCCAGCTCCGCCATCATCCTCTGAACACAGGAGTTGTTAGTTTCAAGCTTCGATCAGAAGTCTAAGATCAGAAATTTTTAAACTATCTTCTGGTTTTGACTTAAAAGGGGTCAGGAAAATTACAAGCTCTTTCTCTCTACACAAATTTTGATCCAAATGAGAAACTGGATATTATAATACAACAGTACTATGTACTAGGGTACTAATCTTTACATTACTATGTATATAGTAGTGATTAGATACTTGTTACTTTGTACTTACTATTAGTAACAAACAAATTTCAAAAATCCAATCTCAAGCCAAAGTACGTAAGAAAAGAATGAACGAATGAAGTTTAGTTTAGTTTTCGTTTTTGTAACCTGAATAAAACCTGGTGGCTTCCAATCAAGATCACAGGTGTTTTTCTGTCACATTTGAGACGTTCAACGGACTGCGTGGTTTCGCTGGATGATCGGGAACCAGATCACTTTCTCACCGAGAAATCGAAAAATACTGAGCAAATGACCTAAAACGAACTCCTCAGCCGGGTCCACCCACCCTCATTCTTCGCTGTGATCAGATACTGTGCCCGCGTCTTTCTCTTCGATTTTTTGCTGAACTTGGTCTTACAGTCCTGGGCTTGCACCAGATGCCGATCATCTGATTCCACCGGTTCGCCAGCAAAAGTCCGCGTGATCTAAAGGGGAATTTGAAGGGTGGTAATGTCAGGGAATTGAGCGCATCGCTGTGGCGGTGGTTCCTCGCTCACCGGAATCACCAATCCACAGTCTTGACCACCTGGCATCGCGTTAAACTCTTTGAATCGAATTCCCCGATCGATCACCTGCGCCACCAAATTTCAAGAACCAAATTTCCTGAAGGCTGGAGTAAGAATCTTATTCTCAGAAATGTAGAAAAACTTGGTAGATGGATAGAATGAAATGAACTCACAATGTTCCCAGTTTTCTGTATGTGGCTAAATTCCGTTGGATCGGAGGGGGTCTCCAGTTCCAGCTTCTTGTTCCTTGGCTCGAATTGGGAAAGTGTACTTCTCTCTTCCTTTCTAATCCATTCACCGATGCTTCCGTTTGACCGGCGGGGCACCGTTTTTGATTTCTTTCCAATTTGGTGAGAATTCGTTCCTTTCACCTCGATCACATAGTTCTCCAATGGTGCGCCTCCACTCATCTTTTGGTGGGGTCCACTGAAAGAAAATTGTTGCTTAAAGTGTGTTAAGCTCCAAAGCGCCTCTAGCACCCTGATCTCTTTTGTGAAATTTTCAAAATATACGGTTTCTAGTGGATCTAATTCCTCCCCACTTTTGAAAGGAATAAGTGGGAATCAGTCTGCTAGAAAGAATGTTTTAAAGGCCAAAGTACAAAGTACAAAACAAGTTTTCTAGTGTGACCCACTCCTAAGATCAACATGATCCTTATCCCAATCAGTGATCTCTCTAGGTTGTCCGGGCTTACCCGGTTGCATCGTAGGGATTCTAGCGACTACCGGAGAAAATGTCTCTAATGGAGCCGGATTCTCCTTCAGAGTTTACTGCAGAAACGCGGAATTTGTATTCATGACCTTCAAGAAGTCCATCCACATTGGCGGCTGCTTGCCTGGCGGGTACCTGAATGTTTCGAATTTGAAAACTGATAAAACGCTAGTGAAGCCAAGTTCCATTAGATTTAGTTATAAGTTTTTCCAAGATATTCCGACTTAATGGAGTAACAAGTCCAAATTCAAATAAGGTCAGCTTTATGGTTAAGTTATTTACCTTCAACGCCGGTACCCATCTGCTGTGAGTGGCTGTGTCGAATTTCTCGACGAGATAATTTTCCAATGGAACTCCTCCATCTAAAACTTAGAACTTAAAAAGTTTACTCAAGAATTCCCACCATCCTCTGGTGGTTTCCAATCAAGAGTCACTTGATCTTCGCTTGAACATTTGAGACCTCGCGGGCCTTGGGGTGGGATGGTTTGTCGATGACGGTCACCTAGAGAAATAGAGATTAAAATAGTACAAAAAGTTTTTATATTTGGAAAATAAAAATTGTTATTGAAAATCTAGATATTTAAGTAGTAAAAGTCAAATATTACTAGTTTAAAAATAACCAACTGGGTTTAATTATACGATTAAAGCTTAGCTTTTTACCTTAAGCATACAATAGCTTGCCTTAGATTCAAATATAAAATAGTTTAGCTTCTAATATCAGCCTACGATAGCTTTCTTTAGATATACTATGTATTCTTTGTTTAAGCTATATGATTACATATCAATTTCTTCAATTTTCATGATTTTTTAAACCACAATTTCAATCTTCTCCTTACATTGCACGTAGCCGAATCGGTTCCATTCTCATTTTGTGCCTTCAACGTGTACTTTCCAGTGTCTCCGCGTTCAGTTTGACGCATCTGAATTCAAAGGTTTACTTTCAAAAAAATGCTCAATTACTTGGAATTTGGTGACATTCGGTGGATTTTCCAATTAGATCCCGCCTCCATTTTTCAATTTTTTTCCTCCAGGGCCAGACCAGGGGAGTGTTGAAGTTGGTTCTCCGTCAACGGGTACATCGAAAGCCAAAATTTGGCCAGCACGAATGGTGATGTCTTCGGAGCGCCAAGGTCGATTCTTGGGAGCCACTAAATGAAAAAAAATAGTTAAGAATCAGGATAAAGATGTTGGATATCTAAATCCTAATAGAAGCTTGTGTCAACTTCACTTCAAGATTCTATTTTCTAACCTAGCTACAGAGCTTTGGGTGTTTTCAAAGCCGTACTAACAAGGCCAGGGCAGGTCCAGGAATAACTCTAATATTTACTGTAGCAACGAAAGTTTTAGTTTTCACGTTAAAACTCACGATTTCTTGGTTTCGCTATAACGGGTTTTGATGGATCTGATGGATCAGAAGGTCCTCCTTTATTCACAGCAACAATACGGAATTCGTATTCTTCGTTTGGTGTCAAATCAGGCACAGTGGCTGTCGTTTGACCACCAGGGACACTGATTGCTGGTTCCCATCTGGAATTGCTTTCCTATCAAAGTTGTTCTCTACCACTATACTACGTACTAGATTCGTTTTTAAATTTGCAGTCAAGTTGGTTCTTTAAAGTCTTTTCAACTTTTCAACAACCACTTACCGTCCATATTTTGTTCTCTTCTCGATTTGGTACTCTTCAATAGGCGCGCCTCCATCGTCTAAAAGTTGAAATGCTCAAGAATAGGTTCTCAAAATCCTTACTCAATGGTGGATCCCATTTCAAATCAACATGATCAAAGTCCCAATCGGTTGGCTCAGGTTTCCCGGGTTTATCCGGTCTCTCGTAGGGATTTTTTGCAAGAATCTCCGCCTCGTTTTCCAATGGTTCTGAGGCTCCCTCGCCGTTCACTGCCTGAATTTCGGCTTTTATCAAACACATTGATCACTTTAGGTACTACTTTAATACTCTAATTATCGTAAACATTCTAATAGAATAGTCGGCTCCGAGGGGTACATTAACTCTTAGTATCTAGTAGTTGAAAAGTGAAAGCCAAAATTTTTCACAAACCTTGACACGGAATTTGTAGTGATCCCCTTTGTTGAGGGTGTCCACTTGGAATTTTGTGTCAGCTGTGCGACCACATGGGACCCACAATCCGTCTTTTGTGTTCATCTTCTCGATTTCGTAGAATTGAATCGGCTCTCCGCCGTCATCCTCTACAAAATTCGATTTGATTTTAACAAATAGGTAATCAGAATTTCTTCTTTATGCTTACCAGAGTTTAGCTTATAAACAAACTACAGCACTACTAATAGGTAGGCCTACAATAGGACGTGTCTACTGCTAGACTGCTACAGTCTACTTCCAATAGAACTGCTACAGTCTACTTGTAATGCTCAAAAGCACTCTTTCTGATGCACTGAATGTTTGAGTTTCTTGCAGAAATGAGTCAGAATCGCAAGAAAAGTGAAGAACAAAGTGCACCAGAAGGGCTGTGTTTACATTTATTGAGTACAAAGAACAATTGTAAAGCTTAAGATTTTTACCTGGTGGTTTCCAGTCTAAATTGCATCGATCCTCAAACACATCAGTTACATCAAGCGGTCCTTTCGGTTTCCCGGGTTTTCCTTTCACTTTCACTTCGAATGTCACCTAGGATTTGATAAGTTTAAAAATTTTTTTTTTTTGGTCAAATTACCGAATCAGTTCCATTCTCGTTTGTGGCAGTGATTGTATACTTGCCACTTTGTTTCCGCGTGGCTTTCGGGATACAGAAACGAGAGAGGTAATCTTGATCGTCTGTTTGAACGCCGGCACCATGCACTGATCCACCTATGATATAATAATAAGAAAGCTGATTTTTCTTGATCAAAGCTTACCAGTGAAAGTCCAGGTGACATTCGGTGCCGGTTCTCCATCGATGTGAATCTTGAAATCAACAGCGCCGCCCACTCGTAAAACATGATCCTCAATGTCTTCGCGATGAATGTGTGGTGGCACTGAATTGAGATATTATATTATATCTTTATTCAAAACATTTTCAGAAATCTATTAGAGTCGAGTTTTAGATTTCAAACATTTAAAGCACAATTTCATAAGAAAATCGAAAGAAACGTAAAAGGAAAAAAAAACTTTTTGGATAGCCGAATAGTTTTTGCTTTAAAGGCTTTTACAAACAATTAAAGTTATCCTACTTCTGAAAAAGTTTGAATCAAGTGCGCTAAAAGTTTATTTACACTTTTGAGCACAAAGTACACGGCAAAACACTTACAATTTCTGCATTTAGCCACAACGGTGTCCGTTGGATCAGACGCTTCTCCTTTGCCAGCCTTGTTTTTAGCTCTAATGCGGAATTGGTATTCTTCGCCTTCTTTCAAGCCATCAATCTAGAAATTCATTAGATTGGACAGAATGATTTCGAAATCTTTAATTCAAAATCTTTCAAATCTAGATCTTAGATATTCAAAGCTATACCGTAGCCGCTGTCGCATCACCAGGCACAACAAGCGCCTCTTCCCATCGTCCTCTCTTATCTTTCTTCTCAATGATATAAGCTTCAATGGGTGCTCCTCCATCATCATTCACTGGTTTCCAAGCAAGATCCACATGATCTTTATCCCAATCAACAAGCTGTAAACAAATTTCTATTGTAACCAAGTCTAAAATTTCGTTAAGCCATCAGTTTACAGTTTTTATCTTTCTCAACCTCACCTCTGGTTTGTCAACCTTTCCAGGTAAATCATATGGATTTTTGGCGACGATGGCCGTGTCTGCTGTCAACGGCTCTGACTCTCCTTCCTGAAAAAATATAGCATAATTTTTATAGATAAGCAGATCGAATCTTTACCTTATTAACGGCTTTGACTCTGAACTTGTACTCGTGTCCGGGTTGCAAGTTCGCCACTTGAGTCGTCGTGCCATCCGATCTTCCACAAGGAACCCATCTACCCGTGGCCATATCCATTTTCTCTATCTCATAGTGATCAATCGGGCAACCACCTGGGAATTGTTTTTGTTTTTGTTTAGAAAGGATCAGTTATGCATTTAAGCCAACAACACGAACTCACCATCATCCTCAGGCGGTGCCCATTCCAATGTGCAATGATCCTCAAACACATCCGTCACATCCAAAGGTCCCATCGGTGCTCCGGGTTTCCCCAGCACGATCACCTCGACAGTGTGCGAGTCTTTTCCACTAGCGTTCGTTGCAGTCAGTGTATATTTTCCAGCTTGGGCTCTTTGCGCACCCTTCAGCACAAAATGAGTTCGATAGTCCTCATTGTTCACCCGAATCTTATCAGAGATCGGTTTCTCATTGAACGTCCACACTTTGTCCGGTGGTGGCTCACCACGCACTGGCACATCAAATTCTACATCTTGTCCAACTTTAACGGTGATCGTCTTCATCGCCTCTCGATCAATCCATGGCTTTAGATTTCTCGGCTTAGCGGTGACACGTTGTGATGGATCCGAGGCTTCTCCTGGGCCAGCTTTGTTCACAGCTTTGATCCGGAATCTAAATTTTCTTGTTATTTAGAATTCTAGAATAACTAGAGTGGATTCTAGTTATTTAAACGCTAAAAATTTGTACTTAAAAGTAAACTTACTGATATTCTTCTCCTTCTTTCAGATTCAATACATCCGCTTCACATTGAGGACCAACCTAAAAGAAAATTGGTGATTAAAGATCCATTGAAAACAACTGTTTCAATTAAGCTTCAGTTGTAAACTATAAATTGTACAAGCTTTAGAATCTTATTGTAAACTTGTTTAGAAACTATATCTATTCATTTTGAGGCAGATTATTTATGAAATCAACTCAGAAACTCACTTTCGCGCACTCTTGCCACTCTTTTCCGTGTTTGCTTTTCTTTTCAATGATGTAGCCAGTGATCGGTGCACCACCATCAGAGCTTGGAGGTTCCCAGGCAAGGGATACCTAGATTTTCATTTATTACTCTAATAAACCACCATAATGATGACATAATGATCGTAATAATATTTACCTTGTTCGAATCCCAATCAACAATATCGGGTGGCGGGGGTTTTCCGGGTTCATCGTACGGATTCTTCGCTTTGGTCTCTTTATCAGCATTCAACGCATCCGATGCTCCCTCTTTATTCACGGCTTTCACACGGAATTGATACGTTTGTCCCTTTTTCAAGCCATCAATATGTGCCTAAATTCTTTTTATCTAGTTTTTTGTAGTTAGAAATCTCACCTTTGTGTCTTTCACTTTGGCACACGGTACCCATCGGCCAGTGGATGTGTCGAGCTTCTCAACCTCGTAGTACTCGATCGGCTCACCGCCATCATCCTCTGAAAGTTATATTATACTATCTAAGATCTATATCTAGATTATGTTTAGATAAATTTCTATGTAAAAAAAATTTGACTTGGTGGTTTCCAGGCGAGATTGCAATTGTCTTCGAAGACGTCGGTGACCTCAAGTGGACCCTCAGGTTTCGCGGGGCGATCGAGCACCTAAAAATTGAGTGGTGCATTGGGTTTACGGATAGAAATTGTTAACAAACACCTAATTACTGGTAGCTATTGTTATCTATAAGCTATAAGCTTTAGCAGCTATTTGTCATCTTAAAAGCTCTCCATAATCACCGTAAGATTTGCCGCCTCGGTATCCTCTCCATAGGAGTTTTTCACTGTCAACCGATATTCTCCAATATCGCCTCGAGCTGCCGCTGAAATGCAGAGAATCGTGTGATCGGTTTTCTTTGTCTCAATCGAGAGCCGAGCGTTCATCTCAACGGCTTTTCCGTCTCTTGTCCAGGTTACCTAGAATTTTTTTGTTTGGATGATCGTCTTCGCCATGGCCGAGTGGCTAAGCGCCCTGTATCTCAGTCGGAACTAGTCGGGAGATCAAGGGTTCAGTCCCGCCGCCTAGCTCCCGGTTCTTTTTTCATATTTTGTTTCCCTATGTTTAGGACTTGTGCTTGTGTATTGTATGTACATTATTCGTGCGTGAATTCTATTTTAAAGTTCTCTCACATCCGGTGGTGGTTCTCCTCCAATCTTCACATCCCATCTCACAGATTGTCCGGCTTTCACAGTGATCGATCGAAGGCATTCGTGTTTCAGCCAAGCAGGGACGAATTTCGGCTTAGCCATTTGTTTCTCAGATGGTTCCGAGGGTTGACCGGCGCCGCCCTAGAATTCCAAATGTTAAAAAATGAAAGATGTCAGAGCTTGGATTAAATGTAGTAGAATAAAAAAATTTACCTTGTTCACAGCTCTCACTCGGAATTGATATTCAGATCCCTCCTTGAGTCCTTTCACCGAAGCATTCGTCGTTGGTGATCTCATGATCTCTTTCCATTCTTTTGTCACCGGATCTAGAGAGATCTTAGTTTTCAAGGCTTTAAAGCACAAATCCACCTCTCACTTCAACAATGTATTGCTCAATTGGGGCTCCACCGTCTTTCTGGAATGGAAATTAGATATAATTATGATAGTTAAACATAAATGTAAGTTTAACAATTTGCTTACCAATGGCGGATCCCAGGCAAGATCAATCCGATCGGCGTCATAGTCGGTGACCATCGGACGCCCGGGTTTTCCCGGTTCATCCCACGGATCCTAGATAAGAGTTTGTATTCAAATTTTAATATATAATTCATATCTAGCTTTAATTTGCAAATTTTATAACTAAAACTAACTATCTACAGTACTGGACAATGAAATTTCATATTTGAAAATGGGTCGTCACTTTCGCGCGTCTGTAACTCCCTTTGTCTTTGAGTTTAAACTCTCTGCAGTAAGACATTTCTTGAAAGCTCTTTTCAAGGGACTACACAATGGTAATATTAATATTTAGAAATACGGTAAAGACATGGGAGTTACAGACACGCGGAAAGTGACGATCTTTTTTTCAAATATCATATTTCATTGTCCAGTAGTGTAGCTATTAGATTTCTATTGGAGATCCCGATCTTTATTCAAAAGTTTGTAAAAATTCAGCGAATTGCGTTTTTTGTACGGTCTATCAACAAAAGTCGATAAAGCCAGTGCGCTAGAAAGCGTGCGTTTACTTGTAATCACAAAGTACACATACCTTGATCGTCGTGTAATCATCAGCAGTGAGTGGCTCCGATTCTCCCTCGTTGTTCACGGCTTTGACTCTGGAATTTGGGATTCCATTTAAGCTTAGGATTCGATAACATAGAAACAGTACTAGATATTAACAGTAATACAATTGTTCAGTACTAGTTACTAACAATAATACAATTGATTTTACCTAAACTTGTAGTTTCCCTTGTTCTTGAGGCCTTTCACTTTGAGATTCGTGGTGCCCGGGTCGACTCGGCCGACCTAAAAACGGAATTTAAGTCAATCCTGAGTTAGATTTGATTCCAGAGAATTATCTGGTTCACTGGTTTGGTTAATTCTACCCATAGCTGAGCTCATCTCCAATCAGATTTCATTGAAAATCTTCTGATCTGCAATCTGGGATCCAGCTCAATCTAAACCACTACTTGACTCAATTTTACCTCAACAAATTTGCCCTTTTGATCCAAATCTTGTGCCTCAACAATGTATCCAGTCAACGGATCTCCTCCATCTAGATTCAATTATTATCCATAAACTCCAAACTTTCTACCATCTTTTGGTGGATTCCAGCCGACTGTCGCTCCGTCAGCGCACACATCACTCACGTCAAGTGGGCCTAAAAAAACGACATAATGTACAGTATTCCAGTACGGTAAAATACAGTGCATTACTTGACTTACCCTCTGGTGGCGCCGGTCTACCCACAACGGTGACCACGGCCGAGTCTTCGCAAGTGCCCGACGGATTCTTGAGCACAATCGTGAACTTGCCCGAATCACCGCGCTCAGCGTTCTCGATCTGGAAATGATCGTGCTTAAAATATCTGAATTGAATCTGAAAGCTTACCTTTAACACGTGTCTTCCCCTTTCTGTTGTCATCTTCACTCGACCGCCCGATTTCAGTGGTTTTCCATTCACCAACCAGCTCACTTCAGGCGTCGGTTCTCCAGAGATCGGCACGTCATATTTGATCGTTTCACCCACTTTCAAGCGTTGATCTTTGATGCCGCCTTTGATGAAACGAGGCTCACCTAAATTAGGGTTAGATAGGAAAGTAGGCTAGTGGTAAAGTATCGTAGTAGTACATCAGAACAGCACAGTACATCAGAACTACAATAGAATGACCAGCTTTCTCTTACCGGTACAAAACTGTGTACTGGTAACAATTCTCGTACTTGGCTTAGCTTTTGCTTTCACCGATCGTCCATGATCATTCGGATCACCGGGACCGGCTTTGTTGACGGCTTTGATCCGGTAATAATACTCTTTTCCCTCCACCACTCGTTCATCAGTAAACGTCTGCTTAGCCTCTTTTGGATCATGCGCAATCGAGCCAACACGATTCCAATCCTAGAATTTCATTCTTAGCAATATGTAAACAATTATGCTACTAAAGATCTTTACTTAAAGCTAGAATTGATTTTAAGTATATATCAGTTTGACTTTAAGATCAACTTTAAAATTATCGTACTTATCAGCTCAAATTTTCGACCTAGAATTAGTCTTGCTTACTGCAAAAATGTAAAGAAATGAATGGCAAAGAATTTGGAATCAAGGGGAATTGAACCTTCTCCTTCTGCCCTTGATTTTCTGCTTATCAGGCAGATGCTCTACCACTGAGCTATAGCGGCTTCTTTGCCAAAGAAGAATCTAGTCTTACAAACCTTTTCACTCTTCTCTCTCCTCTCAATGATATACTCTTCTAATGGTGCTCCACCGTCATCTAAATGATTTAAGTACATAAATTTATTACATAGTACATAAATTGACTACATAGTACATAAATATATTGTATATCGAAGACATAGAATACAGTAAACCCAACCCTCTGGTGGATCCCAGGCAATCGTGATGTGATCATTATCGACATCGACAAAGTCCATATTTCTCGGTTTTCCGGGCACAGCTGAAAGTTTAAAAGGGATAAAGCAACTGGATAACTGGATAAGCGATTAAATTCAAACTAATCTATTCAAACTAATCTAAAAGCTGATCACTTACTGTAAGGATTCTTGGCGAGGATCGTCTCTCCAGTCAATGGATCGGACAATCCGACATCGTTCAGTGCTTTCACTCGGAACTTGTACTCGCCATGTTCTTTGAGGTCTTTCACCTGAATTTAAAAATTTCCATTTATTTTTAAGCTTATCTTTACCATACCTTGAAACCAGCTCCCTTTGTCTCTCCAATTTTCGCCCATTGACCCGATCGTCCCTCTTGCATCTCAACAATGTAAGCTTTTGCCGGGTTCTCCTCGCCTAGAATTCGACTTTATTAAGATAAAGTAGTACTAGTACCGTAATCTATACAATACTCTATACAATCCACTAATCATTACCATAATCTCAATCACCGACCTTTATCTCCTTCTCCCCATTTGAGATCACAGCCCTCAGCGGTAACATTCGTTGTCTCCAATGGGCCTTTCGGTGGCTTTGGTTTATCCTAAAGTTCAAAAGTTAAACAAATTATATAACTTTCTATTTAAGTAATAATACCTTAACATAGAGCTCAAATGGTGCAAGGGCTGTTCCAGCTGAATTCCCCAACTCGAGAGCCCATTTCCCGGCATCGGCGAGCGCTGGGTTCTTCCATTTGATCACTGCCTCGTCGCCTTCAATCACCACCTAGAATTTATTTATCATTGAATCCAATAATTTGCATTTCTCACCTCAACAAGATCTCTCATTTTATCCAAATCGACGGGTTGTCCATTCTTTAGTAAGCGAATTTTCGGTAAATTTCGCTGTCCCTTGATTGAGAACGGGATTCTCACCTAGAAATAGTTGATAAGAAAAAAAGCATTGTTAAGATTAAATGGTGATTTAAATGATGATTTAAATGGTGATTTAAAAGCTACTATCAAATTTCCTTACTTCACACGGTTCTCCAGCTTTCGCCTCGATTGTTTTTGGTTTCCAGTTAAAGACAGGTTTCTTCTCACCCTCACCAACTGTGACTAGGCAAGAGCCTCGAAGGCCAGCCTAAAGAAGAAGAAGACCATGACCTCTACTGTAATCACAAACCTGATCAAACTCGTACGTGTCCCCTTCACCCATCTCGATCTTCGAGATCTTCAATGTGTGCACTCCATTTCTCGAGCTACACTCGAATTTCCCACCAGGTTTTGATGAAATTGGCTAGATTTTGCAATTTTGAGGATTTCTCTAAAGAAATTGACAAACCTTTCCTTTAACAAACCATGTGCCAGGCGTTTTTGTGTCCTTTGTCTCACAACGGAGATCAACTGTTTCTTTCTCGATTACATCCATGTCTTTGAGAGGAACGATGAACTTGTTAAGGGCTAAAAAGTAAATAATTCTTTATGATTATGTTGTTTTCTAAAAAGTACTCCGATTTCTGTCTTTCTTGTCTTTGTCTTTCAATTTAGAAATCACAAAGAATCACAAGAAAAGCTAATCGCGTAAGCTTAATGGGATTGCGATAGCTTTTTTGGAAAGGAAATCAGGTGTACTTTAAGGTAAAGCTTGTAGCTGTTTTCATTGAAAGCTAAACCAGCCAACGATCAAAACCCACGTTCAACAATGAGTTGAGCCATCGTCGTGTCATCTTTTGTTTTACATTTATACTCTCCATGATCCTCAATCCTTGCTCCAATCACATGCAAACGACGCTTTCTCATCGTACGCTCTTCTTTGAAATGTTTACCATCAGGTTCGATCTAGAATAGAGGAAATTGTCTTTATTTTGTTACAGTAACTTGAGTCCTATAAGTTCGTCTCAAAGAAAATCCCTCCAATTGCTCTAATAGAAACGGATAGGGTACAGAAAATAGGCTAGACTGATTTGAATGGAAATTTTACAGCTAGAAGATAGAGTAATTGTAAAGGCTATTGTAGTCTAAAAAAATTGATAGATAGAGTAACGAGAAAGTATTGTGAGCCTAAAGCTACCTTGACTCCATCGTGCCACCACTGTACATCAGCATCTTTATCATTGACATCACATTCAAGAAATGTTGTCCCTCTCTCGTCAACTCTTTGCGATTTCAATGGGATCACGAAAGTGTCTCGTGGCTCTAGACCGTCAATGTTTTAAAATCAATCAAAATCAACTCTACCTTCAACATAAACTTGAACTTTCGATAGTACATCCTCACTGATGTACGCTGTCCATTCTCCCTCATCTTCTTGCACAATCTCGTGAATGGTCACCGTGCAACGACCCACAGGATCCTTGTCAATCGTAAAGCGCTTATCATTTCTGAAACAGATTCTCTATGAAACAGATTCTCTATGAAACAGATTCCCTATGAAACAGATTCTCTATGAAACAGATTCCCTATGAAAAAGTAATCCTAGAGTACTCAAAAGCAATGAATAATCAAATTTAACAAAAAAAATTACTCATCAATCGGTTTCCCATTTCTCAACCATTTCAACGGTGCTCTTGCTGAGTTGACTTTACACGTGAGGACTCCATTCTTTGTGCGATAAACTTCTTGTGTGTTTGGCAGTGGATTCACGAAACTGTACTTCATTGGAGGCTCTGAAAGCATAAAATATTATTTAATTTTTAAGTAAATCAATATAACGAACCGTCAACAACGAGATTCGCATTTGTTTTTACTCCATTCGCCTCACAAGTGTACATGCCCGAGTCGTCGACTTCGGGATTATTGATGATGAGTGTGCACGTGGCTTTTTCGATCACAATCTAAATCCAATAAACGTTTTATTGTCTATAGATCTAGATTTACAACTACCGTAAATACTGTAATAGTACTAACAATAGTACCCCACTCCCCTCGTACAGTTCGGAGCGTAGCGTAGTCTAGCTTTGGACGCGTTTTTCTCGACACTGGTTTATGCTACAATGCGCGCGAAGGTATCAAAAAATAGCCCTGAATTTCAGCTATTTTTTGATATCTAAGCCCGCATTGTAGCATAAACCAGTGTCGAGAAAAACTCGTTCAAAGCTAGACTACGCAACACTCCGCACCGTCATTATGGGGGTGGGGTACTATTACAGTATTTACGGTAGATTCTTTATTTTTACCTTATATTTCAATCCACCAGAGAATATTTCTTTCCTATCTTTGTACCAGCGAATTTTCGCGTTCGTCCGCGAGTACGTGCACTTCCATTCGACAATTTTGTCTGTCTAAAAAGAAAAATCAATATTTAATAGCTGAGTTCCAATAGCTGAGTATCTAAATAAATTCAAAAAGCTCACCAATTGCTGAACCCGTTTATCTTTCAACGGTTCCACCCATTGCTCAACCTTTTTGCCCGGGAACAAACTCTAAAATGATTCTTTTATTATATAATATATATAAAATCTATTTATTAATTACTTATTAAATCTATTTAAATATAAATCCTCTCAAAAAGCGCTTCAATTTTAAAATTCGTTTTTCTTCCGCCTTACGCCAACCTTGCGTTTCCTCTAAAAGCCCCCACAGTTTCTTTTTTAATCGAGTTATTAAATTCTGGAACATTTTACCCCCTGATGTTCGCGATATTTCCACCTTGGCTAGATTTAAAGCCTAAAGGCTAGGCTAGATATTTCGGCAATTGATTTGACTGCTCTGTGATTCTTTCTTGAGGTATCTATTTATCTTTTGGGTGTGTTTTGAGTGGTGTCCCGGATAATTATTGTGATTTTGTTTTGTCGCTATTCAACTGAATAAAGCATATATATAATTTTATATCAAAAAATTTGTGATTTACCTGTCTCCTCTCAGCCTCGCTCAACTCTTTCTCTTTGGGCTCTTTTTGTTGACCACTTGAGGTATCTCTAAAAAAGTTTGCCTTTAAAAACTAAAATATCTAAAGTAATCATTACGATTGCAAACATTACAAACATTACAAACCTTCTTTTGAGCATTGCCCTAAAATCTGCTCCTCCTTGGTTGTCGGTGGTGACGAGGAGTTTAATCTCGGCGGTATCGCTACCGTGTGAATTCGAGACAGTCACACTGGAAAATCAAACACTTTATCTGATTTGAAGTATCACGAGAATATTAAACATCTAAACTATCAAATCCACTCACGAATAGACTCCATCATCTTGATTTCGACACTTGCTGATCGCTAGATGCGCTTTGTTCTCCTCTCCATTCGTATGCTGCTTGAAACGGCCACCGCTCATCACCTAAGAGATTCAGAAATGACAAAACTACATAATAACCGTCTTTTGAATAGATACAATAAAAAAATCTTCTTTTAAAGTTCTGCTTCTGAAATAGCTTCTGAAAAATTTCCCTTTTCAAACCTCTCTCATTCCCTTTTTCCATGTAATCTTTGGCACCGGGTCGCCTTCGATTTTGATGGTCAGGGCTGCGGTTTCATCTAAAAAAATCATGAAATAATAGATTCTATATTCATAATCGATTTCTTATCTTACTAATTAACTACAAAATTTTCTTTGTAGCATTTTTGAACGTTTTTTTGTTGTTTGTGAAGACGGAGACGTCTTGAAAAAGTTGTCGTTTTGAAAACTGTCGAAAAAAAACTGTCGAAAACATCAAAAAGAGGATATAATGTTGTAAAATTTATGAGTAATAATAGCTTTAAAAGATTAGATTTGAAACAAATGCTTAAGAACTTATTTTAAAAGAAAAACTGTTTTAAAAATGATTCCTAAAAACCTATTTTAGAAGAACAGTTCAAGTTTCGTTTGGCTACCGGTTTAACTCTGAAGTAAGGGATAAGTTCCCAGCCTGACGGTAGGGGAACCCTGTCGATGTGGCTCATTGGTAGGGCGTTGGCCTGGTAAGTGGTCGTGGTAGCAAGAGGCCGCGGGTTCGAATCCCAGGGGGTGACATTTTTTGGATTCGCAGCCAAAAGAACCGTCCGACTCTGGCTCTAAGTTTAACAACAAGCTTGCTTGCTTGACTCACAGTAAATTGAAAGTAAAATATTCAAAAGAGGAGTCAATTTCACTCACAGCGATACTTCCATTCTTTAGCCTTTCAAGCCTACAATAAAAGATTTAAAACAACTGAATTCCAGTTGTGTTTGGTGAAATTTGAAATTGAATTATAATTTGAAAACCCACTCTCAAGAACAGTGACACTTTCGTCAAAATCGACAATTTTCGCCGGAGTTCCCGCTCCACCAACAGCTTTTAGCGGGGTTTGAGCTTTCTCAAGGAGTTCCGAGATCGATTCACGACGAAGATCTACAGAACCACGACGCTGAAAATTAAGGAATCAAAATTGATAAAACAATAAAAGTGTGTTATCTGGAAGCTGAAAGGGATTAGTGGATGGAGTCCAAGTTTTGATCAAAAGCTGATGATCAAAAGCTGATGATCAAAAGCTGATGATCAAAAGCTGATGATCAAAAGCTGATGATCAAAAGCTGATGATCAAAAGCTGATGATCAAAAGCTGATGATTTTGATAGAAGCTGATGATTTTCATAGATCAAAATCATCAGCTTTTGATTTAAAACTTGTCTCAAAAGCATGCAGGGGACAGGTTGATGATTTGAGGATGGAGAAGTCACATTCTCTTACGACAGAATCGCGACGGGACGAGTCGCTCTCCCACATGGATCCTCTCCTCGATTGTCCGGGACTATCATCATCTTTCGGTTTCTGTGCCACTTTCTTCAGTTTCACTCCTTCTAACGGATTCGTCTCTTCTTTTCGCCCAACTTGCCTCCCTTTTAAGCTCTTTTTCGGATCCTCAATCGCTTCTTTAGCTTGCTCTTTTTGTCGAGTCTTCAGCAGAGATTTTGGCTGGAATTTTTTTTTGCTGAAATTCTTAATATCTCTAAAAATTCTTTAACAAAAGCTTCTATTAGTTCACAGCACTTGCATAAACGTTAATCAACAGTAAAACTGGAAAATAACTTTAGATTTTCTCAGAATAAAGTTATTTTTCAGGCAATCTACCGGTGTCACTTGTTCGGGTTTCGTTCCATCAGCGAAACTCGTCTTTTTCACGCCAACTTGTTGATCTTTCGCCTAGAATGGAGAAAAGAAAAATAGAATAAAACATGCTAGGGGAAAGATACCGTAATTCTCTAATGAAATTATTGATTCATTGACAATACATGATTAAAAGTACGTTACAGTTTATAAAAATTGAAATTAGAAGCAAATTTTGATCAGAATTTGATCAAAATTTGATCCGCAATGCTTCTCTTGGCTCAATGCTAATATTTCTTATAGAAGGATTACGGTATAGAGATTTTTGTTTCAAAAAAAAAAGATGAAAGACAGAAAGGAAAAGAATTGAAGGGGAAAAATGGACACCTTTTGTTGATGTTTTGTTCTTTTGATCCTCATTTTTTGTTTGTTAGTGTTACACAGCCAACACTCGAAAATAGATATCAATCTAAAAAGTTGTTAATGATTAGAAAAACTGAATTTGATGAATATTTAGCTAGAGATATTGCTGGCGAGAGTTGCTAACTAGCCAGAGTTGCTAACTAGCAAGAGTTGCTAACTAGCAAGAGTTGATAACTAGCCAGAGTTGCTAACTAGCAAGAGTTGCTAACTAGCAAGAGTTGCTAACTGCTAACCGATTCTACTCTTAAGTTATAATCGTTAATTACTAAGAAGGTAGACTTACTAAAAAGTTATAGAGCTTGTGGATATGCTTAGAATAACAGATCAGATATAAATCCATAGTATTTCCTATTCTACAGTATTATAGATAGTATTTGGTGCTATAGATTACATATACTAAATCTACAGTACTACTTACATAGATCTTATCTATCTATAAGTAGTACTTAAAGATAGGAAAGATCTAGATAAGTATACTTAAAGATAGATAAGATTTAGAGAAGTAGTACTTATCTATCTTTAAGTACTACTTCTCTAGATCATATCTATTTATAAGTATACTTATCTAGATCATATCTATCTTTAAATATACTTATCTAGATCATATCTATCTTTAAGCACTACTTCTCTAGATCTTATCTATCTATAAGTATACTTATCTAGATCATATCTATCTTTAAATATACTTATCTAGATCATTTCTATCTATAAGTATACTTATCTAGATCTTATCTATCTTTAAGCACTACTTCTCTAGATCTTATCTATCTATAAGTATACTTATCTAGATCTTATCTATCTTTAAGCACTACTTCTCTAGATCTTACCTATCTATAAGTATACTTATCTAGATCATATCTATCTTTAAGTACTACTTCTCTAGATCTTATCTATCTATAAGTACTACTTATCTAATCTTCTATCTACAAGTACTACTTCTCTAGATCGATTATTAGTCACACAATATATTAATGATCACGATGCACACATCAACTCATCTCCAAAAAACAATCGAAAATCAAACCCTACATTATCCGGATCATTTCCGTCCTTTGCCGGCGTCTTGGCTCTTGTGGTGGATGTGCCGGCTCGACTCTTTCCCTCAGACACATCCTCTCCCATCGACGACCTCCTCGATCCTCCTTCATGATCCGACACTCCACTATCAGCTCTTCTCTCGACTTTCTTCAATTGTGTCCTTTCCAATGTTCCCTCAACTCCTTCACTTTGCTCTTTTTTTGCGACTTTTTTTAGTGCAGGCTTTTTGAATTCATGTGGATCATCTTTGGGCTTTTCAACCGGGCGAAGAGTCTTTTTCTGGAAATCAGACAAGAAATTCTTTTTAGCTAGATATCTAAAAAGTACTGTAGTCTTTTTGTAGCTTTGATTAGCTTAAAAAACTCTTGTAGCTTACTGTAACTGTAACTGTAACTTTAAGAATTCCTCTAACTGATTAAGATAGCTCTAAGGATTGTGTAGGTTTGAGGTGAAAACCTATCGTAACTGTTTAAAGGTTTTAGCTTTTAGTCAAACGAAGTACCTGCGCAGCTTCAGTGGATTTCGACGAGTCGGCGGTTCTCTTTTTGAGGAGATCGCGCGCATTCTGGTACATAGCCTTCTCTTCGGCTGGTGGCTGAAATGAGAAAGCACACATTCACACACACAAAATAAAACATGTGTGAACATGAAAAGACGGAAAAAAAAGAGACAAACGTTTTTTTGGATTTAAATGAGAAATAAATGATACAAAACTGGACAACTGATTTGGTTAAAATGGTTGCACTCAGGCAATCATTTTAATCAAATCCTCACCAAAATGAAAAGCTTGGTGCCTTTTTAGAAAGGTTATGTTTAGCAATTTTTGAACTGGACATGAAACTGTTGCATGCAAAAATAGGGAAGCGAACTGAAAGATTTTTTAAGGTGATGCATGATGGTGAGGATCGTTTTGTGGATTCGAAATGACGAATGACATCTTGGAAATGACTTGGAAATCCCGAACCCCCGGGAAATGTTCGGGGGAAGTAATTGGTTACATATCTTGTACGTAGTTTACTTTGTACTTACTAAAGAATTACTTAAACTGTAGATTTGATTTATAGATTATAGATAACATTATATACAGTACTGGACGTGATATGATATTTGAAAAGATCGTTCCGTTCGCACGTCTGTAACTTCTTTGTCTTTGAGTTTAAACTATTAGTGTTATACATTTTCTGAAGCTCTTTTCCAGGGCTGCAATGGTAATATAATATTTAGAATACGGTAAAGACATGGGAGTTATAGACGCCGAAAGTAACGATCGTTTTTCAAATATCATATTTCCGTATCCAAGACTATATCTATTCAATTACTTAATCAGTATCTACATATCTATTCGGTGTATCTATTCAATTATTGATTATTTTCTATTAGACTCGAAAAGCGTTGACATATGGGATTTGTGGATTCTATGGAATGAGTTGTTGTGAAGCTTTCAACGCTTATTGACTTATTTAAATGAATCGATAAGTTAGTTGCCTTTAGTGTAACGGGAATCGAGTACATTTTGGTGTAATGGTTAGCACATTTCATCGATAAGCGAAGGTGACGGGTTCGAGTCCCGCAGCCGTTAAGTTTTGATCTGCCCAACTGATAACGATAGCGTTTATCAATGTTAAACCTTAACTTGTTATTGTTTATTGTTTATTAGTTGTTGGTTTTATTATTTATCTATCAATCTTAAGACAATCTAGAGAGGCTATCTAGACAATCTAGAGAGCTGTCTAGACAATCTAGAGGTTATCTGAACAATCTAAAGTACCTATCCTGACAATCTGGCCTATCTAGACAATCTGAGGCTATCTAGACAATCTGAGGCTTTCTGACAATCCTGAGGCTGTCTAGACAATCTGAAGGTTATCTAGACAATCTAGAGGCCTATCTAGACAATCTAGAGCTATCTGAACAATCTGAGGCTATCTAGACAATCTGAGGCTGTCTAGACAATCTAGAAGGTTATCACAGACAATCTGAGCCTATCTAGACAATCTGAGGCTATCTAGACATCTGAGGCTACTTTTTCTTTAGACAATATTGTTCTTTATTCTTTACTTTGTACTTAAAATGTAAGCACACTCTTTCTGTTGCACTCCAGGCAACCATTTTAACCAAATCATCACCAAAATGAAGAGCTTATTGCACCAGAAAGATTATGTTTAGACATTTTTTGAAGTTACCCGAAAAACTAAGTTAAAGTGTCTTTTAGGTACTATTTTAAGATGTTGATGGGACAAACGACGACTTTTTTTCTTGAGTGCAATGGATCTTTTCGAGAGAAGAGAAATGGGCCAAGGTGAGAAGATCTTTGCTTGGGTAAATATCGAATAAGAAAAAGGGAAAAGGCTCATTTGCAGACGTAAATTATTAAACCTTAGCTTAGCTTCACTCAAGCTTAGCTTAGCTTCACTCAAGCAACCAGCTTCACTCAAGCAGCTTGGCTTCACTCAAGCTTAAGCTTAGCTTCACTCAAGAAGCTTAGCTTAGCTTCACTCAAGCAGCTTGGCTTCACTCAAGCAGCCAGCTACTCGAAGCCAGCTTAGCTTCCTCGAAGCCAGCTTGGCTTCACTCAAGCCAGCCAGCTTCACTCAAGCTTGGCTTGGCTTCACTCAACTTAGCTTGGCTTCACTCAAGCAGCCAGCTTCCGCTCAAGCAACAGCTTCACTCGACCTCTAATTTAAGTCAATCAGTCATCCTAAGCTATAGTACTTGAAAGCTGCAAAAGCACAGTTGCAAGTGCTGTAAAGATCTTGAATCTAGAGATCTAGAGTGTTTTCCTTGCGAGTAAAATTATTCGAGTCATTTTTCCCGTAACTTTATTTGGTTAAATCGATGTTTTTTGTCGATTAACTACGAATAATCCTATTGACAGCTGAATATCTTTTAAGCTGAAAGCAAACAACTGAATATCTTTTAAGAGAAGTAAAATAAGTCCTTGTTCCATTTTTTTGAGAGATTTTTCTCAAGTATTCATTTAGAAAACGCATTCCATCTTTGGGGTGCATTTTAATCCAAAAGTGGGGTCAAAAAATTGAGGAAAGGATAAGGGAAGGTGAGTAAAGTCTGCGCCCGGTACACGAGGGATAGATAGATCCCTTCTCTCTCTCAGATTTGAAGAGGGATCCACGAAAGAGCTCTCTCTCTCTCTCTACACTTTTTCTCTCTTACGAACATACTGTTGCGCGATTTGAGGAAGATCTCGAAAGTTGTACCGATTGCCGCCACCAACCGACGAACTCTCCGATAACTGCAATCACTGTGCAAGGGGAAAGAAGATATTCAATCAAAGATTTGATTAGGATCATCTTAAGATCTTTGGATAGATCTGAGATTGAAGAAGATCTTTTATTAGAAAATGTTGTTCAGCATGAAGAAAAGATTGAAGGAAGAAGAAGAAAGAAAAACGAGATTTTGAATCTTCTTCGTTTCTGAACAGGGCAAATTTTGGAAATCGAGAGATCAACTTTCAGAGTTTCCCGTTTCCCAAAACATAACCGATCCTTGGTTAAGATCTTGGGTTAGATCAACTCTGAACAAACCTCTTGCGTAGTGGAGACACGCTTGCGAGCTGGAACAAAGCGCACCCCCAGCAAAGGATGGCGAATTCGGAGATGGACTCGGAGACTTCATCCTCCGGAGTAATCCATTTCACTGCCCATTAACTCGCGACGAATCAGGTCGGGAATCGTGAGGCCCGATGGTAGGATTCCATCGACTTCAGAGATCTGAATTTGGGAGAAATGATGAGATGTTTTGATCGATATCGATTGATCCTCGTTGACATTCATTCCCAAACAGACACACTCCCGAATTTTGCTTTTTGTTACATTTAGTCTTAGATCATTTTCCGATCATTTTCCTCAAAGATTTTCATCCAAGAGATTTGAGAGAGAAGAGTTCAAGTCTAACAATGAGCTTTGAAGAGAGTTTCAAGTCTAACAAAGCTTTGAAAGAGAGTTTCAAGTCTAACAAAGCTTTGAAGGAAGAGTTTCAAAGTCTAACAAGCTTTCATTTCAACATAACAAGTCCATTTTGTCAAGTTTGTAAGGGGAATAAAGAAGCAATCCGAAAGGCCAAGACAAAAAGTGAGACTTGACCAATGGTTGTGAGGGAGACAGTTTTGAGTTCAGTGCAAGTACAGTTCTCATTCAGATTAGACGGGTGGAAAAACAGATCAATTATTGATCTGTTTATTGATTTATTCATTCATCAATTAGATAAACGGTTTAGAAATTGATCAAAAAATTCAAAATGAAATGAGAGAATTGGGGATAGAGATTTTTGAGGATAAAGTTTGAATCCAAGTTCGTTAAAGATTGAATCAAATTAGGAATTGTCAGAGAAATCGATGTTTATTCGAAAAGTGTGGGTTGACGAAGAAGTGAAGAAGAAGTGAAGAAGATCAGGATGGATTCAGATAGATCCCCGAAAATCTGCAGAAAAAAAGAAAAGGAGAAGAACTCCCGAGCTATTAGTAGTTGCGAACATAAAAAAGTGCCCAAACCGAGATGGGGCAAGATTGAGAAGGATGAGGAGGGAGGGAAGGGGAGAAAGGGGGAGAGAAGGGAGGAAGAGGAAGGGAGGGAAGGGAAGAGGAAGGGAGGGAAGGGGAGAAGGAGAGAAGGGAAGAGGAAGGGAGGGAAGGGAGAGGAAGAGAGAAGAGGAGAGAAGCGGGAGAAGGACGGTGAAGGCCCATCCACCAGAAGTGATCCCAGGCTCTCGGCAAATTTGTTGACCACTACAGTTTGTTGTTTTTTTTTTCATCTAGCCCGTTCCAATTGATCCTGATCGATTCAAAAAGTCCGAATCAGAATTTTGAATTAAAGTTAAAAAACGAGTTTCCAAATTTTAAATGACTTATTTAGAATCTAGAACTGGGGTAGGTTGCTTTTCTTTTTATTATTTAAACTGTTCCCCAGTGATAAGAAATCTAAGCTATAAAATTATATGATCTAAATAGATTAGAAATCTGGAATTAAATAATCTGATGAAAGTAAACTTTGAAGCTAAGCAAAGCATTGAAGCTAAGCGAAACATTGAAGCTAAGCAAACACGAAGCTAAGCAAAACATTGAAGCTAAGCAAAGCTTTGAAGCTAAGCAAGCCTTGAAGCTAAGCAAAGCTTTGAAGCTAAGCAAGCTTTGAAGATAAGCAAGCTTTGAAGCCCCAGGCAAGCTTTGAGCTAAGCAAGCTTTGAAGCTAGGCAAGCTTTAGAGAAGCTAAGCAAACCTTGAAGCTAAGCAAACTTTGAAGCTAAGCAAAGCGCGATGACCGCTTGAGGTCAGCTCTGTTTCTCCGTTTCAAAATCAAGAATGATCAAAATGATTAAAAGTTAAATTGTTTAATAGAAAGTGATGCTAGACATTATGGTAGACAGTTTTTAATGTCTTTTAGCTGTCTAGATACAGATATGTCTAGAGTATGTGTCTAGATATGTACAGGGTAATGTCTAGATACTCAGTTAGTCAGCTGAATATCTTTGGAAATTTTCAATCTAAACTGTAAACAATCAACTTAAAAGAGAAAAAGCTTGAAAACTATAGAAAGCTATGAAAGCTATGAAAGCTATATT